GGCTGCACGACGCGCCAGGCTGTGAATTTTTTTTTCCTCAAGCCCACATTGGCTAGTACTCTCGCACAACCAATAGGATCTGTGCAATCCCCTTTTTATTTTTGGACAGTTACAAATTTCGGGGCACTGGGACGTTTCGTTTTTTTGCCAGGTTTTGGGACTTTTTTTTCACCCACTCAAATTTTGGGGCACTGGGACGTTTCATTTTTTTGCCAGGTTTTGGCCCCACTCTGCTATTTTGCCATCGGTTTTTAAACAGCGTGTTTTCTATAGTCGACCCTGTTTATTCAGCGCAAAATTTATACAACAGCCTGATTGATCAGTGTAATTTTTTTTGCAAGGCCTGAAACGAAGGGGGGACCCTGAGCGATCAGCATGGCCCAAAACGAATCTGAGGCCCTGCTGGAAAGTGATGTGATTTTCTGTCGCATCGCGCTATTTTTAGAATCATCGCTTGCGTATTTATTTTTCATCGCACTCCAAACACAATGTGTGATTTACAGTTCCCAATTTTTTTAGTTGCGTGATGCGTTGCATCGCTTTTTATAACATCGCCCCCACTGCGATGCGATTTTTATCGCAATCGTGTTTTGATCATGTCCACTTGCATTGCACCGAAGTGAACCATGCATGGCAGCGTGGTTCAACTAAAGGCGTGTCAGAGGTGCAGGACGGAAATGCTTTACTGTGCGCTTAGATGAGTGTTACTAGAACGAATGATTGAATACAAGTCGAACAAGGGGGATATATGCGTTCAGGTTGTACCCTCTAACAACATACAACTATCCAGCCTATAACTTTTACATATCAACATATGTATAAGTTGACACACCCCCTAGGCTAGAGAAGGGGAAGTGCTGAGCAAGAAACACACAACACAAGGTGGCACTACTAGTCCAACCTCTGAGGCAGGGGTCCAAAGACCAGTTAGCAAGGGTACAAACAAGACAAGAGCAAATCAAAGGCGGTGCCTGTCGCAAGCCGTAGACAGGGCGCCGGAGGAGCCACTGGTTCCCAAGAGGTAAAGTACAGGTGAAGCTCTGAGGGCGGCGCAGGTAGACGTGTTGAGGGATGGCACCAGAACCAAGGCTGAAGCAGTAGCCCTGGGAGGACCGGAGTGTCTCAGCGTCGTTTGCCCAAGAAGCGTCTGTGTGCCCAGTAAGGACCACTTGCCTGCGTCCTCCTTGCACTAGCCTCATGCTCGATGTACTTGCAAGATAACGCAAAACCCTCTTAGCGGCCGACCAGTGCTGTGGTCGGTGTATGCGTGTGGCCACAAAGAGGGCCAGGATGCTGAGGGGGTATGCGAGATCTGGGCGAGTGCAAGTCATCAGGTAAATGAGGAAACCCACGAGCTCTGCGTAAGGACCACTGGGCACTGCTGACTCCTCGGGAACTGGAGCTGAGAGCCTGTGGTCTACCGGCAGAGGTGTGGGTTGTGCGGAGGAGAACTGAAGAACGAACCTCTGTAGGACTTGGCACAGAAAGTGTGACTGTGTAAGAGTGATGGTGCGCGCTGCTCTGTCCTTGGAGATCTGCAGGCCAAGGTAGCGGCGCAGCTCTCCCAGGTCAGTGCAGGTGTGCCACCTGAGCAGCTCAGCCGAACGAAGAGCGAAGGGTTAGCAGAGGACGGAAAGAACTGCAGGTCAGCTACCGTGGCACGCAGCGTGTCGTGCCACTCACGGGGCGCCTGTCGCAAGCTGTATACGGGGCGCCGGAGGAGCCACTGGGTCCCAGGAGGGAAAGTACCGGAGAAGCTCTAAGGGCGGCGCAGGTAGACCTGCTCATGTAGGCTGCCCTGAAGGAAAGCAGTGGAGAAGTCGAGGGAGTGAAGCTCGTAGTCAAACTGTGCTACTAAGTGTAGCAGCGCCCAAAGAGTAGTCATCTTTGGGGTCGGGGCGAAGGTCTGAAAGAAGTCCACCCCCTCTCGCTGACTGAAACTTCTAGCCACGTAGCGCGCCTTGAACACAGACGGCTCTCCAGGGGGGCGCTTCACCTTGAAGAGCCAGTGGCCATCGACTACATTCACCCCAGGTGGGGGAACAGCGTCGACGTAGGTGCCGGTGGATCTCCAAGATGACATCTCCCGCTCTATGGCAGCTATCCACTGAGACACCCAGGGTCCCGAGGTGGCCTCAGCGTAGGTGCGAGGGGTCGGGATGTCAAAGGCGTGTGGGTCACCCTCAGGGACTAGCAGCATGGAAAAGAGATGGGGAGCAGCCTCAACAAAAGTAAGCAAGCTCGTACAGCCTGTCCTCTAGGACGTCATTGCCAAGGGCAGGAGCACCCCCGACAGATGGAGGACGGGCAGGGTTGGAGACCAGAGCAGTGGCGTAGTCGAGACGGCGGGTAGAGGCGAAGTCAGCGACAGCAACGACAAGAGCGTCAAGATGCGAGAGAGGAACAGACGGGTCGGTAACGAGGGAGGCAAGGACTCGAGAAACAAGAGGACAAGCAACACGAAGGTAGTTAGACAGAGGTGGAGGCATGACAGCGAGCGACGACGGAGGAGGCGAAGGCAGGAGGGGAGGACGAGACGCGTGGGAACGAAGCAACATGGGGTGCGAACGCTGAACAAGAGAGACAAGACGAGCACGAGAGGGACGGTGAGACCAGACGTGAGACAGGGGCGTCCGGTCAGGAGACAGAGGAGGAGAAACAAGAGGAGAACGAGGTGGGAAAGGGGCCGGAGACGAGTCCGACGGAGGAAACACAGGACCGTGGACAGGAAGAGAAGGAGGCGTGGGCGAGCGGTCGGGGGAGGGAAGGCCGAGCAAGCGAAGGGCGGACACCGGCGACGACTGCGGCTTCTACTGCTCTACGCGGACACCTGTACCACGAGCTGCACCACGGTCACCTCCAGAACACTCCACTCCAGCACCCCCAGAGGGTGCAAGGTGCCGGCTCGGGCTCAATGGGCCGGCTCGGGCGCAAGGGGCCGGCGAAGGCGCAAGGGGCCGGCGAAGGCGCGAGGGGCCGGCGTGGGCGCGAGGGGTGGGGGGGGGGGGGGGCGCTAAGGCGCGAGGAACCAGCTAGGGCGCAAGGGGCCGGCTAGGGCGCAAGGGGCTGACCAGGGCGGGAGGGGCCCGCTAAGGCGCGAGGGGCGGGCTAGAACGCGAGGGGCCGGTAGGGGCGAGGTGCCGGTAGGGGCGAGAGGGGCCGACTAGAGCGCGAGAGGCCGGCTACGACGCATGGGGCTGGCTAGGGCACGAGGGGCCGGTTGGGGCGCGATGGGCCAGTTGGGGCTCGAGGGGCCGGCTACAGCTTGAGGGGCCGGCTACGGCTCGAGGGGCCAGCCAGGGCACGAGGGGCTGGAGACGGCGCGAGGGGTCGACGATGGCGCTAGGGGCCCGCTAAGGCGCGAGGGGCTTGCTAAGGCGCGAAGAGCTAGCTAGGGCACGAGGGGCTGACGAGGGCGCGCGGGGCGGCGAGGGCGCGAGGGGCTAGCGAGGCGCGGTATGTTAGGGCGCGGTAGGTTAGGGCGCGAGGCAGAAGCGGATGGGTGGACCTACCTTCTCATGATACCATGTTAACTAGAATTAATGATTGAATACAAATGGAACAAGGGGGATATATGCGTTATGGTTTTACCCTCTAACAACATACAACTATCTAGCCTAGAACTTCTACATATCAATATATGTGTAAGTTGACAATGAGAAGCGTGCAGAATTAGATGTTAAAAAAATAAATAAATCACTTGGTCAGCAATAACAAGTAAAATTATGTGCAAGCAGTGAACCAAATACATCAACAGATATGAGAGGCGAACATAACTCAGACAATGTAGCAAGGTAAGCCATGCTACACATCAAACAAAGTATTGCTTTCATTCACGTCCGTTTCCTTCTATTTCATATCCTAATTATTTTTTGGAAAGAAGGTGTAAGGAATTTCCATTCCTTACTGAGTTGTACGCTAGTGCGTACACGCGAAGTCCTCGACTCGTCACGTTCGGCCTCATTTATCGGCCCAACCCTTTCCCGAGTCGCGTCCGGCACTGTCGCCACATTGCAGAACCTACCCACGTTCCGAGGTTATCGCCCTAGTACACCAACCCCTATATTACCTCGTGCATTCATTGCAATTGCGACCTTGTATGCTCACGTTATAGTACATTGACACTTCCTAAATCATAACAGAAGGTGTTCACGTAACAGGTTGCTGGGTTCACCACTCGAAGACCTCAAGCACATCACACTCGCCAGCCACTCATCCCATTCGCTGAAGAAAGTGCTTGAGGCTTCTTCGGGGCAGGGCAAGTAGATATACGAGGTAAGTTGTTCCTGATTTTATTTACTACCCTAATAGAGTAGCAAACGTTTTTCAAATACGCAGACGGAGGGAACCCTGAGAGTCTTCGTTACTCACAGCACAGCAAACACGACAGCACAGCAGGGGCGTGACGGCGAATGCAGTGGTGGGTGGGAGGTGTGACTCTTCGGTATGTATTGATAGCATAGCCCAGAATTTGGCTACACAAGAACCGCGTACCACCGAGTGTTGGAGTGTCGTTTTATTTCACCTGATGAGTGACATCAAAGCTCCCCCCTTTTCCGTCTCGCCCTACTTTCCCCCTCTCCCATCACCTTTCTCCCTCCGCATCATCCTGGAGGGCGCGTTCCGGGTTCCGGGTCAACTTCAAAAATCAGGCAGAAGCTCTGAAGTTGGAGACCCTAGGCTAAAAGCCATGATGAGTCAGAAAGTAGTTTACCGTCGTTTAGGCACGGAAAACCTACACCCCTGACCAGTGAGTGTAAGGGAGAGCCAAGTTGCAACCAGCCTCCCCCACCCACTGTTGAACTGATATTAGGGGCGGAAGACAATCTCCTACCCCCCCCCTCCCCACACCCCAAGTTTGCATCGATCCTGGAACGCGTCCTTGCTAGACGCCCCACCTCCTCCCCGCACCACCCTTTCATCCTAGGCTCCTAGCCAGGTCTCTTCCCTCAAGGCTTCCCCCATCTGCACTTTCAGGTCTTTTCCCTCTCGTCACAAGCATGCTCCATTGCAGCTTGCAGGCTGTCTGCTCTTACTAACAGCGCCTCCTAGTCGTATATTTTCCAAATACCTTCAGTCCACACACATCGCATGCTAATTTCCCGCGTTCACCCTTCCTTAGGGTTTCTTGGCGAGGGTTTTGGCTTAAAACCATTTTCTGCACGGCCGTCGATTTTGGGGCTACCGTTTCCCGATTTCCACTGACGATCAAGGAACACTCGCGACTTATGGAACTCGTTGCGCGAAGATCCGATGGATCTTCAGTCTGAGAATCCAAATCTGGTCCGGACGAACGGAAAACGCGTGCACGGAGAGCGCGTTTGGTTCTCGTAGGCAGCAGTAATCTGTAATCTCGCTATTCTTAACTCACCCGTAGGGCGACGCGCGATGGGGCGGGAGGGGCGCCCCGTGCGCGAGATTCGTCTCCCCGCGAAGCTTCGCGACGAGTGCATCGAGCTGCCGTCGAAGCACTACTGCGCGTGCCGGCAGCCGTACAAGAAGGGGCGCTTCATGATCGCGTGCGACGCCAAGAACAAGAGCGCGCACTGCTTCGAGTGGTGCCATGGCGCCTGCATCGGCATTTCCGAAAAAGTCAGCAACCGGAAACTCCCGCTTTAGTCCTGCTTGTTTAGTGTTAGTGCTTGTGTTAGTGGCGCCTTTCGTTAGTGGGCTAGGTTAAGTTTTTGGGCCTACAAACGTACTCCGCGTGTGTCCATGCCAGGTGTCCATCGCTTCCATCGCCTCCGCCGCCGCCTCCGTCGTTTCCGTTGCCTCGTTGCCTCCATGCCGCCGTTTGCCGCCGTTTGCCGTCGTCTGCGATCTTTCTCGGTTCTCCGCGCCGTGCTCCATTTCTTGAGCTCTTTTCTGCAACGCTGTCGTTCGTCTTCCCGCGTCGGAAACTGCTGGCACATGCCCTTTCTTCGTCTTTCCGCCTCCGCCAATCGCGCAGACCGCGTGTTTTAGGGTTCCGCCATTAGGGATGACTCCGCTCCGCTTATGCCTGCTGCGCCGCCGGCGCCGCTTTGGCCAGGCGCTTGACGTGCCGCACACGCCACATGTGCGATGTCGCAGTCAGGCTCCTGCCGCCTGTGCGTCTCTAGCGGTTTCATGGTGTTCATCGGCACTTGCCGCCGCAGATCTCCCTCGCAAGGAATTCTACGCGGATGAAATCCCCTGTGGGCACTGAAGAAAAAATCCATATGATCGCAGCGTCGCGAGACGGGACAGATCCGTATCCCAGATCCTCTCTCGTGCGCTCGCCCCGCAGCCGTACGATATGCGTTCTGGTCGACGGGCTGGGGACTCGTTCGCAGCGTGTTACGCGGACAGGCAGCTCGCCGCACGCGCCACGCGCTCACCTCTCACGTCCCCTACCCCGCGATGTTCGTCACCCCCTCAGAATCGTCAGGAAGGAAGCGCGCAACGGCGAGTGTATGCAGCGTTGCGCTTACCCCATCCGCTTCTCCGGATCGTCCTCTCAGACTCGTCCCCCCTTTTTCCCCCTTCTCTCCTCTCCCCCTCTTCTCCCCCGCCCCCTCTCCCCCCCTTCTTCCCCCCCCAACCCCCCCCCGCCCTCACCCCCCTCCTTCCTTTCCCTCTGCGTGCGATCCTCCTCGTCGCATGGTCGTCTGCAGGAGGCGGCGGGAATGGGCGAGTACTTCTGCGAGCCCTGTCGCGCAGCCGCGCAGGCGATCGTCGCGGGGGGCGACGACAGCGCCGCCGCCGCTGCGTCCGCGGCTGCGGCAGCGGCGGCGGCGGCGGCGTTAGCGGCGGGCGTGGTGGCGGGCGCGGGAGTGGCGGTGTCGCCCGGCAAGAAACGGGCGAGGCGCAAGCCGAATCAGAAGGTAAGTTGCGGGGAAGGGAGCGTAAGAGGCGGGGAGGGGGGAAGGGGGAGGAGGGGGAGGGGGGAAATGGGCGCGCGGGGTCTGTGTCGGCCGGGGAGAAACGGGCGAGGCGCAAGTCGAATCAGAAGGTGAGGGCTGGGGGGGACTGGAGGGCATAAGACGGGGAGGGGATAGATAGGCGCGCGGGTGGGGGGAAGACAAGAAGGGGATGATGCGAAACGTGGGAACGTGGCGAGAGCAAATAGGGGGGTGGGGGGAGAGTGGCGGGTGCGCGAGGTTGTGAGGGGAGAAGATGAGTGAGTGGACGTGTGATACGGGGGCAAAGAGGTGGTCATAACGCGTATCCAGCCAGGTATCAGGGTTTAACGTTCAGGGGCAGAGAAATGTTATGGAACAGGAGAAAGAGGTTGCCGCTGGCATAGAACCGGCATGGTGTGGTGTGTGGTGGTCTGGATGAAGCGGAATGTCCTTGTTGTAGCAGTGGTTTTGGTGAGAGCACTTGTCACATCCGCCGCCTCGTGGTCGTGCATTGGAAGGGCCTCGCACTGCAAGGTTTGGTACTTTTCGCAGCGCCAACTAGATCCTCTGTCTTGCAGGCTTTGCTAGGCTTCGTTGGCTTACTTGCGGCTTCTTGGTTTGGCCACTTGGAAGCTGCTCGCAGGGCACACTTGTGTAAACGGCAGTGCCTTACTGTGCCTGCTTGCCTGCCTGCCGTGGCATTGGCGCACAACGCCCGTTGCACTTGTCCGATGGCCACACCGCACTGCACCACACCGCACTGCACCCTGTGTGGTCTAGGCAGCAGTGCCTGCACGGGGTACACATGAGGTGCTCGTGCCGGCAACACTGGTGCTGGCCCACGCGTCTCCTCGTGCTGGAAGAAAGGAGGGGATGGGGAGAGAGGAGTGGAAGGAGAGGGTATGGGTTGTTGGGCTGCTATGGAGTGAGTCTCTCCGAGAGACAGGTGGAAGGGGACGCCAAGTTTGTAATTGGCTCGATCTAGCGTGGAGGAGTGAGTGCTATCTGCAAGTTACGAGTCACATGGACGCACGACGTGCGCCCCAGGATTCGTCTTAGCGTAGGCTTGTAGGCTTGTAGGCTTGTTGGCTTGCTTCGGTTATTTGTTTTGCGTGCACAATGCTTGGTGGCTGTCACGTTACCATGCGCCTTCCTCCTTTCATCCTATTCTCCTTACTCCTCTTCACCGTTTGCTCTCCCTTCCGTCAACTACCCACTGCACCTTCCTTTCCACTCCGTTTCCCTCTCCCCCTCTCCCCCTCTTCCTCTCTCGCGCTCCCTCGCCCTCCCCAGGCCTCTCTCTCAGACGGCGGCCAATCAGACGCCGCTTCTGACGCCGACAATCCCGAGGTCCCAGGCAGCCACTCTGCAGCGGGGCAGGCAGCCAGTCGCAGGCTGACACGTGGCGAGGCACAGAAGCTGCAGCGGCTGCAAGAGGGGGGGGCTGCAACGGGGGAGGAAGAAGAGGGGGAGGAGGAGGAGGAGGAGGAGGACGAGGAGGAAGAGGATAGGGGTTATGCAGAGGAGCAGGCAGGAGGGGTAACGGGCGGGGGAGATGGTGAAGCGGGGCAAGGAGGGATGGGTGGGTTGGCAGTAGGGTTGGGAGCGGATATGGGTATGGGGATTGGGGAGGTCGAGGGCATGGGTATGGGCATGGGGATGGGTATGGGGGAAGGCATGGAAGGGGCAGAGTTTAGCATGTACCATGTGCTGGAGGGATGGGAAGCCGGACTGGAGGGAATGACTGTGGTCCCAGCCACGAATGCTGCTGCTGCTGCGGCTGCTCCTGGTAGTGGTGATGCTGCGTCTGCGTCTGCTGCTGCTGCTGCTGCTGCTGCTGCGGCTATTGGTGCTGCTGATGGCACGGGCTTGGCAGAACCAGGAGGGGACGTACCTGCTGTTGCTGATGCGGCAGCTCTGGCTGCAGGTTCAGCGAACCTAGACGCGAATGGCGATGCACATAACGTCCTGGCAGGGGGCCAACTTCTGCAGTACCAGCTGCAGCAGCATCATCAGCAACAGCAGCTACAGGAGGCACAGCAGCAGCAGCAGCAGCAGCAGCAGCAGCAGCAGCAGCAGCAGGAGCAGCAGCAGCAGCAGCAGCAGCAGCAGCAGCAGCAGCAGCAGCAGCAGCAGCAGCAGGAGCAGCAGCAAGTAGAGCCAGGGCAGCCATTCTCTGTGTACGACGCTGTTGCGGCTGCTGCTGCCTCCGCTGCCCTTCCTGATGATACAGCGCTCTCCCCCACTCGCACGCCGCTTCCACACCACGTGCACCCATTCAGTGACCCTGCAGCCGCATCAGCTGCAGCAGCAGCAGCCGTAGCAGCAGCAGCAGCAGCTGCTGCTGCTGCTGCTGCGGGGGACAAAGGCTCTCTCAAGCGCTCTGCTACTGACATGATGGGTATATCCCCGGGGATGGATGCCGTTTCTGCTGCTGCTGTTATGGGCGGAGCAGGGATAGAGGGGGTAGACCCTGGGCTGCTTGCCCCAGCAGCGAAGCAAGCACGGCTTGAACCCCAGGGCTCGTCTCCCTCCACAGCTTCTGCTGGCATCCCACCCGCCTCTCTTGCTGTCCCTGCCGTTCAGCCTGCTACAGGTGTTGCGTCCGCTGCTGTCTCTCCCACCCTGGCGCCGTGCGGTGCAGCGGCAGCGGACAGGAACGGAGAAAAGACCCTCGCGCCCTCCGCTCTCGCTGCTGCTGTGGTTGCTGCTCCTGGCGCGGCTGCAGCAGCAGCAGCAGGTGGAAGCACAGCCACAGCAGGAGCAGCGGTGGCAGGGTCTGTGCCTCACCTGGTGGCAGTAACTCTGCCAGTACCGACTTCTGCTCCTTCACCTACTGCTACCAGCATAGCCAGCACAATCACTGCCACCACCATTGGTGTAGCCGCGGCCTCTGTGGTGCCTGCTGGTGCGAACCCCATCCCCCTCCTCCGCGTGCCCCTTTTCTATGGCAGGCCACAGCTGTCCCCTTTCGCCATCCCGCCTCTCCCTTCGTTTGCGGGCTCTGTTGCCCCTGGTCTAGCGCCGCCCGCTCCTGGTGCTGCTCCAGGCTTTTCGCCAGGTGTTTTGCCAGGTGTTCCAGGTGCCGTCCCAGGTGCTGTGCCAGGTGGCGTGATGGCTGCAGTGCCGCCTGCCGCTGCTCCTGGGGCAGGAAGAAGCGGCGCAGCAGCAGCAGCGGCAGGGGCAGCAGCAGCAGCAGGGGGGGCGAGTCGATCAGGGCAGGGCGTGGCGGGGAAGGGAGCAACAGCGAAGACTTCGATGCGCACCCGGCAAGGCACAGCAGCTGCAGCGGCAGCAGCAGCAGCCGGTGGTGGTGTTGGGGGTTCTGGTGCTGGTCTAGGGAGGCTGAACCTGCAGCAGCAGCAATATCTCCTGCAGCAGCAGCAGCAGCAGCAGCAGGTTGGGCAGGACGACGGGCAGGGCCCCCCTCAGCCCCACACCAAGGCGTACTACCAGCACCACTCGCGCATGCGTGTTGGCAGTGGCAACTCCGGGCCAGCACCGACAGGAGCAGCACACGCCTTCCCCCTTGGCGCCCTCTCTCGCTCCGCCTCTGGCGGCTCAGCAGCAGCAGCAGCCGCCGCCGCAGCAGCAGGGGGAGCAGCGTTGCCTGCGTCTCCGCGCTCCGCCCCTGTGAAAGGGCCGGGGCAGCGGAGGAACTCTGCAGGGCAGGCAGGGGCGCGGGCGAGAGGGCAGGAGAAGGCCGGGGCAGGGGCAGCAGGGGGGGCGGGAGGAGGAGGGGGACGGGCGGGAGGAGGGATGGTGGGTAGCAGTCCGAGAGGAGGAGGAGGAGGAGGAGGGGGTGGGGGTGGGGGTGGGGGTTCCATGGTAATTGCGAGAGGTGGTAGTGGGGGTGGCGGGGGGATTGGTGGTGCCATGACTGGTTCCCCGTCGGATATTGCGACACGGCAGCGGTTTAGGGACTCTGTTGCTGCTGCTCTCTGCATCGGCTTGCTGGAAATGGCTGCTGCTTCTGCTGCTGCGGCTGCGGCTGCTGATGCTAGTGCTGCTGCTGCGGCTGCTGCGGCTGCTTCGAAGAGAGAAATCGGAGCGAAAGAGGAGCCAGGAAGCGTCAGGCAGTTAGAGGGGGCTAGGAGGAAGGAGGGAGAAGAGGTGAAGTTGCTTCCTGCACCGGCTGCTGTTTTGACCATAGATGGCAAGGTGGATGGAGATGGGGCAGCAGGTGCGAGTGTGAAGACGGAAGCAGGCGACGAAAAGGCTGCTGAGTCTGCGCCTGGTGAAGAGGTGAAGATGAGGGATGGAGAGGAGAAGGTGAAGGAGGAAGAGAAAGGGGAGATAAATGTTGGTGTAGGAGAAACTAGTGCTAGCATCGCTGCTGCTATCCCTGGAGACGCCATGCCTGTGCACGCTTTTGAGCCCCCCACTAGTGCTACTGTGGTTGCTCCCGCGCCGGTTTCCGAAGCAATTCTTCCTAATGCAGCTGCCGACGCCGTTGCTGCAGCTGCTGCTCCGGATGCTGCTGTTCCTGCTGCTGCTGCTGCTGCTGCTGCTGCTGCTGCTTCTGAGTCTGCTGCTGCTCCCATCCACGGTTCCAAGATTCTTGGTGGGGTTGCTGCAGCTGACAGTCCAGTGCAGCCAGCAGCGGATGCAGCAGGGGAGGCAGCGGTTGAGGCTGCTGAGGATGGTTCTAGGGATGCTGCTATCAATCAAGCAGTCCCGGGTGCGGCTGCTGCTGCTGCTGAGGCTGTTTCTGCTGCTCCTGCTCCTGCAGGAGTGGATGCAGGGGAGCCTGGGCTGAAGCCGGAGCCTGTGATTGAAGCGATGGTTACAGAAGCGGTTGTGAAGGAGGAGGGTGTGACAGAAACGGTTGTGGTGGACGCGGGTGGGGCAGAAGCAGCTGCTGCAGAAGAGGTGATGGGGGATGCTGTGATGGCAGAAGGAGTAGACGCTGCTGCTGCAGCTATTGTGGCAAGTGCAGAAGGAGCAGCACCAGCAGAAGTAGTACCAGCAGAAGCAGCACCAGCAGAAGCAGCAGCAGCAGAAGCAGCAGCAGCAGAAGCAGCAGCAGCAGAAGCAGCAGCAGCAGCCGTTGCAGCAGATGGGAGCAATGAGGAGCGCAGTGGTCGTGCAGCAGTTACGGAGGAGGAGGAGATGGGAGGAAACCAAGCGGGGGCAGTCAAGGCTGAAGAGATGGACGACGATGTGGTGGAGGTGACTGATGGGGAGGTGAAGGGTGGGGAGGTGAACGAGAAGATTGCAAGTGATGGGGGGGAGGCCAGCGGTGTTGTAATTGGTGCACAGGAGGGGAAAGAGGAGGGAGGAGAGGAGAGGGGGCCAAAGGGCGTGGGAGAGGAGGGAGGAGCGGAGCAGGCAAGTGCAGCAGAGGCGGATGAGGATGTGGTTGAGGTGTTCACTGCTGGGGCTGGGCCTGTGGCAGAGGGTGGAGAGGGGGAGACTGGACCCAGTAACGGGGAAGCTAATAACGAGGACCGAGGTGGGGTGGATGGAGGAGTATCGGCGCAGGAAGGAGAGGCAGCAGGGGGGGATGTGGAGATGAAGGATGCGGGGGTGGGGAAAGAGGAGGGTGGAGAGGGGGGAGTGGTGGGAGTACAGGGGGGGGAGGTGGATGAGGATGTGATGGAGGTTGTGCCAGGAGAGACGGAGGGAGGGACGGCTGGTGCTGCTGCGCCTCTGGTAGTAGGTGGTGCAGCTTCGCCAGCACCGCCAGAACCGCTGCCAGCCGCAGCAGCAGCAGCAGCGGCAGCAGCACCAGAAGCACCTGCAGCAGCAGTCCCACAACCAGCAGCACCGGCACCAGTACCGTCAGCACCAGCACCAGCACCAGCACCAGCACCGGCACCGGCACCAGCACCAGCACCAGCGGCACCAGCACCAGCACCAGCGGCACCAGCACCAGCAGCAGCACCACCAATAGTAGCACCAGCACCAGCACCTCCAGCAGCAGCAGCAGGAGTGGCAGTTACATCAACACCAGCCCTGGCAGTCGTGGCATCACCACCAGTGGCAACACCTTTAGGAGCCCTAACACCAGCAGCAGCAGCAGCAGCAGCAGCAGCAGCAGCAGCAGCAGCACCACCACCATCACCATCACCAGCACTGTCAACAGCCATCGTCCCATCCTCACCATCCACCCCACCTGTCCCCTCCACCACCACCACCCCCCCACCCGCGCCCGCCCTCTCCCCAGCCTCCCTCCCTCCAGCACAGCGGGCCAAAGCCGACGGCCTTGCAGCCACGATCGAAGACGAGCTCTTCCGGCTGTTCCGCGGTGTGACCAAGAAGTACCGCGACCGCGCTCGCTCCCTCCTCTTCAACCTCAAGGACCCCAGCAACCCAGAGCTCCGCGCTCGGGTGCTCTCAGGGGACCTCCCCCCCAGGGAGCTCTGCCAGATGAGTGCGGAGCAGCTGGCGTCTAGGGAGCTGTCCCAGTGGCGCGAGGCCAAGTACCAGGAGCATGCGGAGCAGACGGTTCTGACTGAGGAGGACTCGGACGCGTTGATGAGAGTAGTGAAGAAGACGCACAAGGGCGAGGTGGAAGTGGAGTTGCCCTCGCTTGCTGAGGAGGTTTCGGCTGCCGCGGTGGCTGCGGTGGGGTCGGGTGGGGGGAAGCGAGGGGGGAAGGGTGAGGAGGAGGGGCGGGGAGGGGCGGGAGTGGCGTGGAGGGGAAAGGGGAGGGGGATGGGGCCGGGGCGAATGGTGGGAGGAAGGAGAGGGAGAGAGGTGAGAGTGGGGGTGGTGTGAAGAGGGAGCGGGAGACGGATGGGGAGGGGAAGGGGAGTGGTGAGATTCTGAGTTGGGAGAAATGGAGTGCCATGAGGGGTGGTGGGGGAGGGGATGGGGACGAGGAGGGGGATAAGTATGAGGGGGACGAGGAGGAGCGGGGAGGAGGGAAGAGGCAGGCCGTTGAAGCAACCCGGCACAGGGGTTTTAGCACTATGGGTGGTTTGGGTGGGGGTGGAATGGAGGAGGAAGGGATTGGGGAGTTGATTGCACGAGTCACAGGCAGAGACAGGTCAGGGTCAGGGGAGGGGAGGGAGGGGAGAGAGAGAGGCGGCAAGGCACGAGTGGGAGCGGAGGCGAGAGGAGCAAGTGGGGGTGGTGGGGGTGGTGCAAGGATCCTGAGTAAGACAGGGTCATTGGGTGCGGATGGGGAGAAGGTGCATGGTGGGCGGTATGGGAGGGAGGTGAAGGAGGAGAGTAAGGAGGGGAGGGGGGATGGTGAGGGAGGAGGGGGAGGAGGAGGGCGGAGGAGGAGCACAGAAGGAAAGGGGGGGAAGGAGCAGGAGAGAACAGAAGGGAAGTTGGGAGGAGGGGGAGGGGAGAAGGCAATTGAAGGGGCGGTGGCAGCGAAGGAGAGGGAGAGGGAGAAGGAGAGGGAGAAGGAGAAGGAGAAGGAGAGGGGCGGTTTGGAAGGGGCAGTAGGGTTGTGGGGAGGGGCTGTGGGGGAGGGTGCGGTGGAGGAGGTATGGTCGCAGGCAGAGGAGGAGGAGAAGGCTCTGGCTGTGGGGCAGGACATATGGGAGGGGGCGCTGCAAGTCACGTCGTCCCGCATGTGCCCCATCCGCGCGTTCCGAGTCAGGTACGAGTTGAAATGGGGTGCGATGTTAGGTGCACGAGGGGTGGAAGGGGGGGGATGACACGGCACACATCCTTTCAACCTTCCCCCGCCTCTTGTTCTTCAGTCGATCTCTCCACTGTAACAGTGCGCTACGTGGCTCTACACCATTTGATCTCTCCCATTGCATGCTCATCTCCCGCTCTTCTTGCGCCTGTCACACACTTTCTTCACGTCACCCCCATCACCAGCGGCGACAGTGCGGTGAACGCGGGTTGGTTCGAGGTAGTGGTGCAGGTGAAGGGACGCGTCAAGATGTCTGGCTTCTGAGGCGCCTAGAACAGCGCCTCACGAAAAACCAAGGCGCCTCAAAAAGCGCCTCAGTGATTGAGCCCCCTCAAAACTGTTCCAGTTCCCTTTTTTCCTCCACCCCTCCCATCTCCCGCCCTTCTCCCTTTTCTGCCCCATCACCAGCGGCGACATCGCAGTGGACGTGGGTCGGTTTGAGGCGGTGGTGGAGGTGAAGGGGCGCGTCAAGATGTCTGACTTTGCCACGTTCCTCTCCGCCCTGCGCACCGCCCGCTCCCGCACCGTCATGGTGCGTGCATGCATCGTCTAGTCTAGTCTAGTAGAGTCAAGTCAAGTCAAGTCAAGTGGTGCGAGGGGTACTTGCGTGCAGTCGATTCATGCTCTGCCCTGGCACTTCATGGACTGTTCATCCTGCAGCTCTGCCTGTGCCGCCGCATGGTTTTGTCAAGTGTGTCTGCGCTGTCATCTCCTTGTTTGCTCGCTTGCTGCGTTGCTTGGCTCATTTACTCGTCACTCTCTTTCGCCTCCCTTCCCACCCCTCCCCTCCCCTCTGCTCCTCTCTCGCCTTTCTCTCACATTCTCACCTTCCCGCACCCCTCTCTCCCTTCTCTCCTCTCCCCGCCTCCCCTTGTGCTCCTGGCATCAGGTCCTAGTGCTACTGTGCCCGGATGTTACTGATGACGCACTTCATGAGGTCAGCTCACTCCAGCCTCTGCTCTTCCTCCTCCTCACCTCTTCCTCGTTCTCCTTCCGACTTCCCTAGTCACGTCGCTACAGGCTACTCTCTCCTTCGTTTCCTTACGCTGTGTCGCTTCGCACACCTCTCTCCCGTCCCTTTTTTTCGTATCCCTAGCAGCAATGCTAGCAGCAATGCTAGCAGCAATGCTAGCAGCAATGCTAGCAGCAATGCTAGCAGCAATCTCTCCCCATTCTCCCCTCTGTTCCTTCCACTTCCACGTCCCACTAACCTCCCCATCACCTCCCCATCACCTCCCCCTCACCTTCCCCTCACCTTGCCGTCTCCTCCCCTCGCCCCTCCCCCTCTCCCCCCCTCCTCCTGTCTCCTCATGTCCACCTCTGCCCCCATGGGAGCAGGCAGCGGAGCAGTACCTGGAGAGCAACAGGGTGGGCTTTGCAGAGCCATGCAAGGGCACAGAGCTCTACCTGCTGCCCGTGGGGAGTGAAGGGGAGAACCTGCTCCGGACCAATGGCTTCCTGCCTAAGCACGCTCTCCCTGCCCCAACCGCTGCTGCTCCTGCTGCTCTTCCTGGAGCTGCGGATGTGGCTGCTGATGCTGCCCCCGCTGCTGCTGCTGTTGCAGTAGTTGGTTCTGTTGCAGGTTCTGGTACTGATGTAACTGGCTTGGCTGGTGCTGGTACTGGTAATGCTGCTGCTGCTGCTGCTGCTGGTCCTGCCAGTGAGGGGGGCGCAGCTGTTGAGAACGAGCAGAAGGTGAAAGAGGAGGTTAAGGCGAAGGAGGAGGTCGAGGTGAAGGAGGAGGTTAAGGTGAAGGAGGAGGAGAATGGCAGAGAGGTAATGGCTGTGGAAGCTAGTAGTGGTGGAATGGGCGAACCAGCTGCTGGGCAAGCTGTGAAGGAGGAAGCAGGAGAAGCAGGAACGGTGACGAAGGGAGAACCTGCAGCAGAGACAGCAGGAGGAGAGATGCCAGAAGGAAGTGTTCTGGTGGGAGGAGATGCAGTGGGAGTAGGATCCGGTGCGGAGGGAGGAGAGGCGGAAGCAGCTGGCGGTGCTCTTGCTGCTGCCATAATCAATGCTGCAGGAGGAGTGATTTCAGCAGAAGAGAAAGCAGCAACTGGTGTGCAAGCAGCAGGGGAAGAGGCTGGGGCACCAGGAATGAGTGAAGGGGGAGGGGATGCGGCAACAGCAACTGCAGCAGGGGAGGGCCTTCTTACCACCATTACCACCACCCCTGGTGACACCACATTACCAGAAACCGCACCAGCAGCAACAGCAGCAGCAGCCGTATCAGAACCAGCAGCAGCAGTGACTGCTACTGCATCTGATGCCCCTGCCACTGGTGCCGACACACCCATGTCTACCTCTGCCGTCACTCCACCACCTGCTGCTGATGCTCCACCCGGCCCAACGCCCACCCCGCCCCCTGCCACAGAGCCTCCTGCACTCCCGGACACGGCGGGAGAGGCCAGTGGGGGTCGCGTAGTCTCGCAGCAGGAGAACGAACCAGCAGGTACTGCTATCGTGACCACTGGAGCATCTGGAGCAGCTGCAGAATCAGCAGCAGCAGCAGCTGCAGGGCCAGAGGCGACTGCACTTACCCCTTCAGAAGCAGTGTCTGCAGCAGCTCCTTGTGCTGGTTCTGCTCTCGCTCCCTCACCTGGCTCTGCCTCTCTCAGGTTCTCCTCTTCTGCAGTCGCGTCCCTGACTGCGGGGGAGCGGGTGCTCGCTCTTCCTGCAGCCGCAGTGGGGCAGAGACTGCTTGGTCTGCTGGTGCAGCGGAAAAGCACAGCTCAGGTTATAGCTGCTGCTGCTGCCGCCGCCGCTGCCGCTGCTGCTGCTGCCTCTGCATCTGCAGCCACGAGCCAAGCTGTTCCTGCTGGTTCTGATGCTGCTGCTGCTGCCACCATCCCTGCAGGGTATAGTAGCAAGGTCAGTAAGCGGGAGTCCGGCTTTAAGGTGGATGATTCAGCAGCGGCAGCGGCGGCTGCTGCAGCTGCGGCTGCCACTCGCGGCCTTTCAACTCACTCCTCCAAGGCTGCTGCTTCGGATTCCCCAGCCAAGTTCCCCTCACCTGATGCCGTGCCTTCACACGGGCACCCTCCAGCACATCGGCAGGAGGATAAGCCGGAAAGGTTTCGGCATGCCCCTGCACATGGGCGCGAGTACGGGCGAGAGAGAGACCGGGAGAGGGAGAGGGAGCGGGAGCGGGAACGGGAGCGTGAGTACAGCAGGGAGCATGGATACGGGTCGTTCCACTCAGCCCAAGGGCCCCCGCCCTCAGCTCTGCGTCGCTCTGGCAGCAGCGGTGCCGGCAGTGGGAGCGGTGCCGGGGGCTACGGAGGGGTTCCGCACACTCCTCCTCCCCCTCGCTCCCGCCCTCCCATGTCACCTGCTGCCACGCCTAAATCCGGTCCCATGGCTGCTGGGTCCCCGCGCCTGCCGTTGTCCCCGACCCCTGCGTCTGGAGGTTGGGGGGGTCGAGAGAGGAGAGAGGAGAGGAGGCGGAGGGGGCGTGGATGGGATGATGGTGATGCCAGGCAACCGGGTGCTGGTGGGGGTATGGGAAGAGGTGGTAGTGCTGCTGGTGGGAGATTGGGAGGAGGAGGAGGAGGAGGAGGAGGAGGAGGAGGAGGAGGAGGAGGAGGAGGTATGGATGATGATGATGATTTGCCAGAGTTTGAGTTTGAGCAGCCAACACAGCCACAGCAGCAGCAGCAGCAGCATGAGCCGTCTCTCCCTCCTGGCTTCTATGCTGGTGGCCCGGCTGCTGCTCCGTCCCCAACTCCTGCTGCCATGGCTGCTGCTCCACCCGCTGCTGCTGTGGCTGCTGCTCCCTCCCCTTCTGCAGCAACTCCTGCTTCTCTTCCTCACCATGCTCCTGCCATCGCCCCTCCCACAGTTGCTCCTGATGCTGCAGCAGCTGCTGCAGCAGTGGTGGCAGGCGGTCTGCCAAGCAACTTGGCGTCTGCTCTTGCTGCAGTAGCTCCCGCTCTCGCGTCCCTTGCAGCTCTGACCTCTTTGCAAGGCGGTGCTCAGCAGCAGCAGCAGCAGCAGCATCCCGCAGTGCAATCACATGCAATGACTTCTCAAGACCGTACAAGCTCAGCTGTTCAGCCATTCATCCCTCAGCCGGCTATGTCTACTCCTGCTGCCCCACCTGCCACTGCTGCCTCTCTTCCTGGTGCAGGCGGCACTGCTGGGTTTGGTCCTGCCCCTATTCACCCACTGCAGCAGCAGCAGCAGCAGCAGCAGCAGCATCAGCTTGCATCCATGCCTGGCCCCACACCTATGGCCTCTGTTCCACCTGCTCCTGCCCGCCCTGTTTGGAAGATCACAACCACCACTGCCCCCAGTCCTGTTTCTTCCGCCCCCCCTGCTGTTCAAGCTGGGGCTTCTATCCCTGCGCAACCAGGCATGGTCTCGGGGCCTAGAATGGGGGTTGGAACAGGCATGGTTGCAGGAGGGGGTGGTCCTGTAGGTGGGGGGGGCGATGCTTGGGGTTCTCTGCCGAAATCACAGCTACCGCAGCAGGCACAGCAGCAGGAGCAGGAGCTGCAGCAGGTGCAGCAGCAAGGGCAGCGGCAGGTGCCGCTGCAAGAGGCGTATGGAAGTGGGGACGGGTCAAGAGGCCCTCAAGGGTTCAGGGGAGAAGGGGGATGGACACAGGGGCCCGGTGGAGCAGGAAGGGGGGCTGGATGGGAGGGTCAGGGACGATGGCAAGGGCCCGGACAAGGGTGGAATCAGGGACAAGGGGAGGGAGGCTGGATGCAGGGACAGGGGCAGGGCCAGCAGGCGTGGCAGCAGGGGCAGGGGCAGGGGCAGGGGCAAGGGTGGCAACAAGGACAGGGCCGGGAACAAGGGCAGGGACAGGGGCAGGGGCAAGGATGGCAGCAGGGGCCGGGCCAAGAAGGGTGGCAGCAGGGACAAGGGGATGGGCAGTGGCAGCAGGGGCAAGGATGGCAGCAGGGGCAGGGAGAGGGTCAATGGCAGCAAGGCCAGGGAGAGGGGCAGTGGCAGCAGGGGCGAGGGGATAAGCAATGGCAGCAGGGTGGGGGAGACGTACAGGGTCAAGGGGAGTGGCAGCAGGGACAGGGGCAGTGGCATCAGGGGCGGGGCCAGGGGCAATGGAATCAGGGACCAGGAGAAGGGCAGTGGCAGCAGGGGCGTGGGCGTGGCGGGGGGTGGAGGCATGGAAGGGGAGGAGGAGGTGGGCGCTGGGGACAGGGAGAAGGAGGATGGAGACATGGCCCTGGGCGGGGGCAGGGGGGATGGCAGCAGGGACAAGGGCAAGGACAGCAATGGCAGGGACAGGGACAGGGGCAGGGGCAAGGGGAATGGCAGCAGGGGCAGAGACAGGGAGGGTGGGAGCAGGGACAGGGGAATAATCAGGGGCAAGGACAGGGAGGGGGAGAGGAAGGGCAAGGTCAGGTTCAGGGAGTGGCATCACAAGGGCAGGGGCAGGGACAGGGAGCATGGGAGCAGGGTCAGCAGGCGACTTGGGGACAAGGCCAGGGCGTTACTGGGTGGAAGCAGGGGCAGCAGGGGGAGGAGAACTGGAATCAGGCCCAGGGAGGTCAGCAGGCACAAGGTCAGCTACAAGGGCAGGCACAAGGCCAGGTACCAGCACAGGGGCAAGGGCAGAGCCAGCAGGGAGGGTGGGGACAAGGGCAGGGGCAGGGACAGAGAGGTTGGTTCCAGGGTCAAGGTCCAGGTGAAGGGGGCTGGGAGCAGGGAGACGGAGGGCAGGCGTATGGTGGGGCTGCTGGTGTTGATGGGTCCTATTATGGTGGAGTTGGTGGTGGTGGGCGTGGCCAGGGGGGCTTTGGCCCTTCTTTCACTGAGCACGGTCAGTATGAAGGGCCCCGGGGAGGAGGGGGGCCTGGGTGGGGCAGGGGTCGCCATGGCAGAGGAGGAAGAGGAGGTGGTGGTGACGGTGGAAGGCAATATGGTTCTTCGTAATCTGAGGTGTGCAGGAGGTCCACCATTGAAGCGTGAAGCAAGGCGCGTTGGAAGCACATGGCAATGGCAACATGAAAATTCCACAGGAAGCATTTGGGATCTTGTGTCTGTTCTTTCTGATGTGTGACACAAGGTTCCAAAAAGCTGCAGTTAATTGCCATAAGCTTGAATGGGAATGCCATGTCTGTGCATCACCAGTGAAAGGGCTTGCCTTGCCATTGGACTGTCTCATAAGAAATCACCAGGCATCCTTTGTCTAGCGATTTCTAAGACTAGTGACTGGGGTGTTATATCGTGAACTTCGAGTTAATAGTCTTTACTTTCGTGATGATGATGCCACATGATATTTGTGTCAAGTATTTTGTTTCCTTGGACAATATTGTTTTTGTGGGTTTTGGCTGGATAGCGCCTCAAAATTTCTAATTGTCTACAGTGATGAATGGCCTGAATCACTGTACCCACGCCATGCAGACCCCGAGAACTGACCCTTTTGTTGAGGTTTGGCGGGAAGCAAAGAGCAGTCCCTGCAGGCTATCGTGACTTCCAATTTTCATGCTCCAGAACCTCGACCTGCTAGGCGATGCGACTAACACTTCTGTATTGAGCTCATTGAGCTGACAGCCATGGATGCTTTTCGTCTGACGAATCTGACTCACTCAGAAGTTGCGCAGTCTCTTCCTCTACCGTCAATAGCGTCGCTTCAAGACGTCAACGGGTCGTCACTTTTGCGAGGTGACCAAGTCGCAGCGAGGCTAGCCGGATCACTGAATGGATTGACAGGAGCTGACATAGATAGGATCGGACATTTGGTACAGGGAGCTGACGTCTCTTACCTGTGAGTAGAGCTTTCCATTTCATGTTCTTTAGGTTGTCATAACATCGAGTTCACATGGCCTGTTGGATTCTTATCAGATCGTTGGTGGGTCCTTGCGAGAGGAGGTTATCAGAAAGTGGAACCATGGCTGGAGCCACCGCACTTTTGATCAATGCTGTTGAGCAACGTTGTCCTGGGGTTTTCGAAGTGGCATCTTCAGGTATTTCCCCAAGCTCGAATCCAAGTGTCTAAAGCTTGGCGCACTCTGCTCGACCATTTAACCGTACAACTCCCTTGAATGATACAATGTTTTGTACTCATGCCAAACACGGCGAATTCGGCTTCCATTGAGCGACGAATTCGTAGAGCTTCAGGGTGTTTCGGCATCTGTGGCACCTACTGATCCGCTTCGCCTTTCGTGTTGACAGCTGGGCCAGCTGATCGAACTCCTGCACAAGTTGCCTTACACGAAGGATTTCAGCAGCTCGTGCAAAAACCGTCGCAGCCTCCAGAAGAAGCACTGCACGGATCCCACCTTCTAAATGAGGCGACTCGAAAGGTATTTGCAAGCATACTTGTACGTTTAGTGCTACAAACGAAGTTAGAATAACGATTTCGCCATGACTCACGAGACGTTTCGTTGCCGTCTTGAGCAGGTAGATGTGCATCTAAATGGAGATAGCACACCTTTGAAGCTATCAGATCAGTTTTCTCCATCCTCAAAGCTTAAAAAGCGACGCACAAGCCTTCATCAGGGGCTTCGTCCAGGCTTCCATGACGGCGGTCATGAGGAGACTGTGGGAGGTGGGGCAAGATTTTATCAGCTGAAGTTATTGCAACAGTCTCCTCGCATGACACGACTAACACTAGTGTTCTTTTTTTATCGGCTGAATAGGTTTGTCTAAAGCATTGGAGGATCTTCTCGACGGCTTCGATTCTTCGAATGGCGACCAGAATGGGAGGCAGATGGTTTGGAAGGCTATGTCTGCATGGCAAGAGACTGCACGGAAGTGGAGGGAGAAGAAGCTGTTGTGTTTTCTGCCAGTCGATTTGCTATCTCGGTTTCTTCAAGTACTGGAAGCTCAGATTGATTTTGGCAAGTCTTCTGATTTGAAGGACGAGGACAATGTAAGCTCACCTTATTTGCAGTGTTTTTCAAACTTCCATTGTGATCTGAGTCATCGAAACTGTTTGTCTGCAGGTGACGTCTGAAGCTTTTGAAAGCGCCATGATTTCTCTGGAGGCTGTGCATCTATCTCTCCTTATCATGACATCACGTGGGATGCCAAAGCAAGTATTTCAGGAGGAAGTAAGTATGCGGCTTGCAAACCCGTAATTTCCTGAATGCCCAAAATCTGACAGAGCCCTTGAATCCCTTGCAGGTGATTGAGAAAATTGTTGAGTGCATCCGATTCCACATGTCACGAAATGTTTTTTGTGCGTGTGATGCTGTCTACCGTCAAGCACATGCTGATGACGAGGGTAAGCTCTAAGGCTTTTGTTTTTAGCGCTTGACGGATATATATTTTCTCTTGCATCATACCATGTCTTGGCATGTGCCTTCACACTGTTGTTTGATGTGCTTGCAGAAGCTGCAGCTGGTCCAGATGGTGCCACAGAACCATCAAAAGCTGAGCGCAAAGGACGAAGAAAGTCGAAAGTCTTTGATGGCAGGTATACTTGTAATTTTCCAAGCTTCTGAAACCAAGCATGATATATATGTTACTGGTCATCTTTTAACTGCAAGTGTCGTATTGCAGGGCTTTCAAGGCGATTTCAGCTTTGATGGACAAGATTTGCAGTATTCTTCCGATTTTCGCGATGCTTCTGTCAGTGACAAGGCTGCCAGACAGCTCAGTGCTGCAAATAACCAAGACTGGGCTTGAAGCACTCAGTGTCGACAATGTGCATTTGCTTCAACTGAAATCAATCTTGCTGATCACTGCAGTAAGTTAACAACCGCTTTTGCCACCATTAGATTCTTATGGAGCACCTATTGCGATTCTCACAATCGTGCTTCTGGTGATTTGCGCAGATTTTCCGTGTCTATCCACATCATAGGAGCTTGGTGATGGATGAGATTGCTCTATTGTTGTGGAAGCTGCATGTGGGAAAGAGGATTTCAAGGACTTACCACTTGATGGAGAACAACAGCACCATCCAACTGGTTTCAGCACTGCTGCTGCAGCTCTTTCAGTGCTGTGTCTTACTTCCTGAGCCAGAGCCTCAAGCAGAGGAAGAGCTTTCCTTGAAAGAGTCAAAAGATCTTCCAACCAAAAAAGGGAAGAGGGGACGACGGCGGAATCCCAGCACAGTTGAAGAGAAGGGGGCTCTTAATGGCGCAGCAACAGACCAGATACGCGATTTGGCCAGCATGAATGGAGAGCAGAATGGTAAACTCGGCGATGAGGATGGAAAGAGCTGTCAGGAGAAAAGTTTCTCTGACACTGGGCTGGAGTCTGCAATCGATGCAGTCAGATACTTCTGGAAGGTTGCATTGGAGCGCTGGTCAGCTCCAAAAGCTGGTTCTGAAGGAGTGGACTCTAAAGCAGTGATTGAAGCCTTGGTTGAAGACCTGCTACTGGCTCTTCATCTTCCAGAGTATCCTGCAGCCAGCCTCATGCTCCAAGTAAGACATTGATCTTGAATGAACAGTCTGACATTTGCATATCATTTCGCTCATGGAGATTTTCTGACAATAAGGGTTGCACTATGGCAGGTTCTATGTGTTTTTCTGGACACAACCTGTGGCCTGAAGTCTGACAGCTCAGCGGTTAAAGGCATGGCGATCGACATCCTGGGTATCATTGCTTCAAAGCTCAAAACGGACCAAAGATCCATTGAAAATGAGATGGTTCCTCTTGTGAATGGACTTTGCAAGCCATTGGGAGATGATTCTTCTGCAGTCTGCCCTGTTGACTGCAAAGAGGAGCAGGCTGATGGCACTGACGCCAGTGTCCCTGGAAACGTGAAGGAGGAGCCATCTGATTTGTTAAATGGAACAGCAATTGTCCCTACAGGGTGTGTGGTCTGCACTGTTGCAGGAGGTCCAGCTCGCCGTCCCAATGCCCTGACTTCCTGTTCGGCATGCTCCAGCTCTTTCCATGCTGACTGCATGGGTGTGAGTGAGGGCGATGGAGGGCCTGCGTGTCTTGGAAGTGAGGTGACGTGTGTTCCATGCCTTGTCAAGCAGCGTCTGGAAAGGGCCATTGGAGGAGATAGCAAGGGAACGGGAGCTGCAGTGACGAATTTTATGGTCTTGGAGCAGATGGTTCTGGACTACATTGCAGCCAGCATGAAACGGAATCGAGTGTGTGCGGATGCTGGAAGGTGAATATAGGGAGGGAAGGACTGAAGCATGTAAACTTGTATGCTGCCCGTTTCTTCTTCATTCTAAGTCTCAGATTGTATTTCTGATTTGCTGGCTGTGGTTTCCCCCTTCGAACCCTGCAGCTTCTGGATTGCAACGTGGCTGAAGGATTCCACCCCACAATCGGATGCAGCGCTGCAAAGCCCCGTGAACAGATTATACAGAGCTCGTTACCAGATATTCAGGCCGCACATGGAGTCAACTGAAGCCCTTCAAACGGTTGACCCATCAGTATCACTGCTTCCAGCAACAACTGCACTTGCTCCTGGTCCGGATGTGGCAGTTGCACCAAGGGAACTTGTGCTTCGTGTGGTTCGGAGCTTCAACTTGCAGCGAGCATTTCACCGGAGTTTCTCTGCTGTTTTGACACGGCTTTTGGTATGAAGAATGCAGAAACCTGTTTCAGTGTTGAAGACTATTGATGCCCATTGCTTGGCCATTTATTGGTACTTATCCAACACATTGTGTCAAATCTGTCCGTTTTGGCTGTCCTTTGTTCGTGCAGGCTTGTTTGAAGGACAGGCCAACAAATCGTGCCAAAGCTATGAAAGCAGTAAGCCTGCAGCTTAGTTGCTGCTGTTTTCTTTGCTACCACTTGTTATCATCCTCACCGTTGCTTCGCTTCCTTGGCAGTTGAGCATGGTGGTAGAGGTGGACCCAAGCATCCTTGCTCTGGACAAGGTGCGGAAGGCAGTGGAGGATCGGTTTCTGGATGTGTCTGTCTCGGTGAGGGAGGCTGCAATCGACCTGGTTGGGAAGCACATCATTGGGTACCCAGAAGTTGCACTCAAGGTTCGTTGACACTCGTATTTCTTGGAAACTTTATTTGCCCGTCCAAGGCTGTTTTTGGTCTGAAAGTAGCTTGTACAATCTTTAAGTTTGTCACTTCTTCTCTTGCAGTACTACAATACCATCACTGAACGCATCCGCGACACTGGTGTGAGTGTGCGGAAGCGAGTAATTCGTATCGTTCGGGAGCTCTGCCTGCAACATCGTGGCTTCCCCCATGCTGCAGAGGCATTGGCACGCATCTTCACCAGATTCAGTGACGAGGAGGCAAGCGTCCGTGACCTGGTCCTCAAGACTTTTCATGATGTCTGGTTTGAGGGAGCCGCTTCAAGCACTGCCTTGGCCAGCACTGAAGGCTCAGCTATTGGTGGTGCTGGCATTTGGGGTGCCTCAAGGGCGTCGCAAGATGAGTCAGAGGAGAAAAAGGTGGCCGCCATAGCTGGGCAACTTGTGGAGGTCTTGCGGACGCAGAAGTGTCATCAGACCATAGTCTCAATCATCAGGCGGAGTTTGGAGATCAGTGATGAGGCTGCTGACAAGAAGAGTGAAGCGCAGGCTGGAGGTTTAGCTGCATCATCTCTCTCGACAACCTCTTTTGCCCCTCTCTCCGCCCAAGTTGGTGGACAGCAGCGGCCCTTTGTGAGGATGCGCTGCGAAGCCATTTGCCGGTACCTTCTGGACCAGGTCCTATTGGTCAGTATCTTAAATGATTGTTCTTTCCTTCTCTCTCTGCTTTGTCTTCCATCCATTGACATTGGCTGCTGTGGCCTTTTTTCAGGCACAAGAGCGGGAATCGGATGAGTTTGCAGCACTTCCATTCGTGATGGCCCTCCAAGCATTTTGTGAAGTGGATGCCACACTCTGCACGCCACCTGTGGATCCAAGCCGATTCGCGACCACGCTGCTTCCTTATCTGACCACAACACAGGTACACTGTAGCCTGGTTTCCATATCTTCCAGCAACCACACCACAACGACCATGGCAATTGGCCTCGCTGACTACTTCCTTCCTCATCTCATGCAGGATGACAAGAGCAATGGTGATGTCAAGCCACGAGAAAGGGCTGAACGTCAGGCACGACTTGCATGTTTGTCGGAATCCATTGTGCGAGTGATAGCAGGGATTCTGGCACATCTTCGCCGGCCACCATCATCTCTTGTCTCTGAATTGGACCAGGTTCTTGCATGCCTCATCATCAGCAGCAGCTTCATGAACCTTGTTCATGTCTGCATCAGGTACTTGCTCTTAGTATAGAAATACGTTTTTTCAGCATTCAGAGACTCTTCAATTGTTAATTTCTTTTTTTTTGAGGCAAATGCAGGTGTCTTTGCATGCTCCAGAAAGTGTCTCCACGACCACTGAAGTCGTTTCAGCTGCTTGTTCCACGCTTCTACCGTGCACTAACTAACCCCAACGAAAGCAAATTTGTACGTGTTGCACATACAGGCCCCGCCCATCCTTGGAAGATATCCTGGGTGATTGTTTGCATGATTCATATTGAGTTATTGTTTGACCCGTCACCTCAAATTTCTCGTCCTCTGCAGCATTGGCGCAGCCTTTTTGCCCTCGGCCTTCTCTGCCGCTACGGTGCTGATGAGATTGAAGCCCTAGAACCCCCACTTTCAATCCCGTCCATCCTCACTGTTTTCAAGTCCTTCCTGTCATCTCTTGAAGAAGAGCTTCAGCAGCGTGCCCTCCAGGTGTGTGAAGTGTTCATTTGTATGTTTTTTTTTTCCCCTCACAGTTTTTGGTTATTCATCATTTGTTCCTCGTGGTCCTGTCACATTCTTAATGCAGGCATTAGGTTTCGCATTCATCGCACGGCCCCAAGAAATGGTTAAGGAGGATGCAGCTGTTATCTTTGGAAATGCTCTGCGGCCGGAGGCCCCGAGCAAGCAGAAGGTAGGATGTAGTGCCGACGTCGTTCGACGAGCTCTGAGACTGCATTTCCCACCCTGCTCATTCTGTGTGACCAGCCAACTCATGGCCTAAATCACATCGTGGTCTGTTAACAGGTTCAAGTTTTGAGGAGCTTTCATGAGTATCTGACAGATGTGGAGGAGAAAATGGTGGAGCAAAATCGACGAAAGCTGCAAACTGAAGCCGCGGCAAAGAAGGCACTCGATGCTTCCAGACATCATGGTACAGGAGAATCTCGGGAAGGAGCTGATGATGGTGCCGCAGCAGACGGTGGCAGCGGTGCTGCTGGCGGCAGTACTATTGTTCCCGTGGCTGCAGGTGCCGGGGACACCAATGTGTGCAGTGGGGTCATTCAACAACATTGGGAGGAGATCTTGCAGTGCTGTATGGACATGGACCCAGATGTTAGACAAGCTGCACTGAAGGTGAGGAGGAAATGCCCATCACACTGGTGCTAAATCTGGGCATTCAGGTTAAAGTCCTGGTTTTGTGGTTACTTAATTGTTGAGTGAACGTTTGTGCTGTTTCTCTGGCAGTTGGTGGAGATCGTTCTGCATCAAGGGCTTGTGCTTCCAGTCACATGCGTTCCTCAGTTGATAGCTCTTCAAGTTGATCCTGATGAGACGACATGGAAGACGGCACACCACCTTTTATCACTGATCAATGACAGGCAAGTCATTCTCATCCTCGACCCTTTACTGACATCATGGTTTTCCTTGCCGAGGTCACCATCCTTGCAGCAGATTCCCCTGATCTCTGAAGGGTGCCTGGTTTGCTTTGCTGACCATTGTTCTGCAGGTGGGGCAACTATCGTTTCATCGAGAATCGATTTTCTGATGGCATGCGTTTGGCCTATGGCTTCATGAGGGCTCTCTCTGCTGCTCTAAGTAATGCTCACCCTAGTCCAGCAATAAAGACCCCCAATAAGGCAAAGCCAGACGTTCCAAGCCCAGCAATACCATCTGCAGCAGCTCATGCCGCCAGTGCAAAGCTTCTTGGAATAGCTCGTGACGGGCTGGGGCGTGTGTACAAGCTGATTCGGGGCAACCGCAGTGCACGAAACAACATTTTGCTTTCCATCATCAGGAAATTTGACTATGTCGATGCAAGCAGCAGTGGGGGTAACAAAATGGGCAGCAGCACTCCTTCCAGCAGTCCTGCAAACAGAGTGCATCAAGAACGGGCCTCAACATGTGGTGTGGCTCCTGCAGGAGCATACGACATCTACTTCCTTGCGTAAGTGGTGACCCCCCTTCTTGAAATGCTGGCTTCAACTGTCTGGCGTATAACAGTGTTTTCGTCTTCTCCTTCGAGCCTATCTCCTAAACTTGGTATATAAAGAACTCAATGTGTCCCTTGCTTTTCACTGCCCCTGCTGCAGGTTTTGTTCACAGGTGCTTGCAACCTTTCCGTTCGCTCTTCCTGACGAACCCCTCTTTCTGGTTCATCACATCAGTCGTGTGGCCCATGTGAGAGGTGGCTCTCTTCATTCATCCATCAAGTACCTCTTCCGACCGTCAAGCCCACTTGGTCCTTCTGTCAAGGCAGCCATGAAGGCAATTGAAGAGGAGCAAGCGACTCGGTGTGGCAATGCATATCGTATAACTGAGGAGGAAGAAGATGAGGAGGAGGCAGGAGGCTCCCAACCTATTGAGATTGCCGTGCCCGAAGCAGCATCTGGCTGTCGGGAGGATCAACAGGAGCAGCAGGTCTTCCTTGATGCAGCTCTTCGAAGGCTCAACGTAGGTGTTGGGAGGGGCATTTTGGGAGCTGGAAATTGCAGTAACGATTTAACAAGCAAGGCGAGACTGCTATGGAACTTGGGGGATTCAATATTGTTTCACATCCTATACTGCCGAGGCATCATGTTCTTAACAAATGTCTCCCTTTGGGCTGCGCAGGACGATACCCGAGCTGCAATGGCTATCTCCTTGCTTCTACAGCTGAAGGGCTGGTTGAAGTCTGCATACTCTCTCACGGATGCACGATGCCTGGTAATGCTCCTGATGCCTTGGTTCCTGCTGGTTCGTGCTTGTCCTCTTGATCTGAGTGTTGCTTTGCACATTTGGAGTTCCCGATGGATGCATGCATGCATGGTTCCCTAACCCTGATATGCTCCCACTTGTCTACTTCAGGCCTACAATCCCAACGAGTCTCAGCGCAACACCAACAATGAAGCCCTTGGACAAGGAGCTACACTTGATCTTTCGCTGCGCAACCTTCCGCTGGACATCCTGAATGATATGCGCCAGTTTGTCCTGCAATACCAGGTGTGTTTGACAGCACTTGTTGGTGATATAGGTGCATGCTTCTTCATGGTCGGCTGGCAACGGCTCATCAGTTCTCCTTTGTCACCTTTTTTTTACACGTGTCCATTCATTGCCCGTCAGGCATTTAAGAGACTCATGAAAAGTGAGTCTATTGGTGACTACACTGGTTTCACTGTTTCTACTCCGAGCAAGCCTCGGGGGGGAAGTAAGGCTGTTTTCTCTGCAAGGCATGGAGAGCCTATGGAAGGGGAAGAGGGTGCTGCAGGAAGGGGAGCTGGAGAAGCGCCCTTCAGTGCTCCAGTGCACGGAGTCAAGCGCAAGCGAGGAGCACGACCCCCAAAGCCTGTTCCGGCTACTCCGCAAAATGGAAGTGGGGATGAGTGGGATGCATCCGCACAAATGGGCAAGAGAGGGAGGAAAAGTTACGCAATGAAGGCGCGACGACTTTCTCTGTGAACGAACCACAAGGGTTGAGTTTGTGCTCCAGTAAACTTCACCAATGAGCTGATTGCCTACCTATACGGCGCTGAGAGCTGCTGCTATATTTCACTGTACATAGTTTCTTCTACAGTATTTGCCTTGTACATTTGGCAATCTGGCAGTTGTGTTGTAGTTGCTCTGGCCTACATGTTCTTTCTGTCGAGAGACCCGCTTGGGTTACCCTTGAGCAGATCCTTGGGGAAGGGCCACAGTTGCAGAGCCTGGGAGCTATGGGCGCACTGACCCGCTATTAACAAGCTCTTTTAACTCGGTGGTTAGTGGCTGAGTTTCTGACACTTTCAGTTTTGGTGCTTTGGTGGCGGATGTGGCAAACTTAGTTCGTTGATCTCAGCTCTTAATGCAAGCAGAAGTCAACTGTACAAGTCTTTCTGCCAATCTGCCAAAGCATGTCTTCTGAATTAGGTTACATATTTATAATATCATACTATCATTGCACTATGTACAAGTGCATATGTAGCTGAACACTACATATTCCTGAATGCATCCACTATCTCATTCGTTATTCCCTGCCCAAACAACCGTGGGAGATTACCTGTAAAATCCACTTCAATGCCGAACTCCACAATTGCCTTATCTCTTGCCAAGAGCACCTGCTGCTCATCTTCCCCCTTGACCACCTTGGCACTGCCAGCAGAATGCAGCCATGAAGCCAGCACATTCTTTGCAAGAGGGCAAACAGTCTCTTCTATTGTTTCAGTTAACCAGTCAGCACTCTCATGTGCGCTCGCTGACTGCTGCTGTGGGAGGGCTCCAGGCTGTGCTGTTTTTTCACCGTTTCCTCTTGGTTTGCCAGCAGAGGTTTCTGTCACTGCGACACTGCTGCTGCTGCTGCTGGTAAGAGACGGCTTGAGCATGAAGAGCAGAGCAGTGGGGGAGAGCGCAGCGCGCAGGAACAGTGTGGCGGGGGCAAATGGCTCAAACCTCTTGTCGGCAGCGCACTGCTTTGACATGTGGACAGTATGAGGGCAGGTGGACAAACAGGAGGAAGAACAGAAATCTGTGATAGGAAGGATGGAGGACGTTTCAGCCTGACGAAAGGAATTCACTCACACTGGTGGCACAAACAGCAGTGAAGCAGCATGCCAACTCTGGCACATGCACAAGTGAGTGCATTAGAGAGTGATAGGTGCACACCTGTGCCCACAGGCGAGCAAGCTGAGAGGCCTCATACACTCGTTGCCTGTACTCTGCATCTGTTACAAGATCCTTCCTTGCAATCACATCCATCACCACTGTCAGCTGGTTGAATGCTGAGAGATCAGGAAGATAAGAGTGGGAAATGGCATAACATAGAGATGGAAAGGGAAAAGAGAAATCAAATTATGAGTAGGAAATGGCAGACCAAATCATGCAAGGTAGAGAAAATTCTGCCTGCTGCTGTCGCTGGAAACATAATAAAACGGCAGGGAGAGCAATTGCTGAGCAGACCCCGAGGGGATAACAAGGGAAAGGGGACATATGGCAGGGTCAACAACACAGCACTAGAAAGTGGGAACGGCTCGGATCGTGAAATAGAATTGCAACATCTCAGACCTTGTTAGCAGCATCCTGTAGCAGGCTTCAGCACTTCTCACACCTGTGGATACAGCAGGAGCAGGAGATGCAGCAGTCCCCCCACCGGCATCATCAGCAGATGCAGAAGCAGCACCAGCAGCATGGGCAGCACCAGAGGCATGGGCAGCTGCAGCGGAGCTTGAGTGTTGCAACGAGGCAACGGCCGATTGGTCGACTGGTGGGCCTGAGAAGATGAACTCGAAGAGCAGGTGGGGGGCGTCGGTGGCCGGGCCCATGAGCACTGTGAGCGTGGCGAAGGCGAGGGAGACCATGGGGAGCGGGCAATGCAGCCACGACGCCAGCAGCCGATCCACCTGCACATGCATGGCGGGAGGGGGAGGAAAGGAAACGGGCAGGATGGGATGGAGAGAAGAGAGTGAGGAAAGAGATAGAAATGGGCATGAATGCACGGCAAGCAGTGGTAGGGAGGAAGTGGAAAGAGGAATGGGGAGCGGGCAGTGGGAGATGGGAGGTGGGAGGAGGGTGATTCTAAGGCCTGTAGCATCTGTGAATAACCCAACAGCTACAAGCTCTGTTTGAACCGCAATCTGCGTAGGATTTAAGGAGATAGGTATTGCATCAACTGTCAGCAACTGACAGCAACTCACCTTTCGCCCTCCAAGTGTTGTGGGCTCCTCTGCTGTCTTCCCTGCACGCATCAGAATGGCTCCTGTCGACCTCCCGTCCGGGCTTTCAAACTGCTTCAGAAAACCGTCCGCCTTACTACCATTCCCTTCCGTTGTCCCAGCAGCACCAGCAGCAGCACCAGCAGCACCGGTGCTGGCATCCCTCCTCCCTCCTCGCTCGCTCAGATTCTCCCCCATCGCCTGCTGTATCGCCTGCAGTAGTGCTGACATCATTGCCGCCACTGCAGGCGGCACCGTGGACGAATCAAACGGCGCCACGACAGCAACAGCCGCGCCACCACTGCCGTGAGCTGCGGCAGCGGCGCCGGCAGCTGTGAGAGCAGCTGCAACCGCGGCGGCGGCTGTGGCAGCAGCGAGTTTCCCAGGCACGGAAAAAGAAGGAAGGGAACGAGGAGTAGAGGGGGAGGGGGGGGTTCCGAGGGGGGACGAAGCGATGAGGGGAGGCGGCGAGGGGACGAGCGAAGTCGAGGGGAGGGAAGAAGGGGAGTCACGGCGGTGGCTGGGAAAGCCGGAAGACGAGCCGGAGAGATGACTCCCCATGGCCGTGGGCGGTGCTCGCCGCTGCTGACTCACTGCATGAAGCAGCAGCTGCTGCTGCGGTCGCGGGGATTGCGGCTGTGAGAGCAGCGGGAAGCGCGGGCGCTGGCTGTTGACGGTGGTGGTGCGAGCAGAGACGCGAGTAGCGGGAACGGGTTGAGCAGAAGCTGATGGCGAGATGGGGTTATAGGAGACAGCCGCCATGAGAGAGCGACCACCACACGGAGAGAAGGTCCAAGCGGAGGTCCAAGCGGAGGTCCAAGCGGAGAGAGGAGAAAGGAGAGAGTGCAAGAGAGAGGAGGAGCAGAGAGGATTTTGGAAAAGCCCACAGCGAGTGAAGGAGAGAGCCTGCGAGGATTACATGCGTCTGGCGTAGAGGTCGTAGCGAGGAATCTTATAGAGGAAGGATGGAGTTGAGCTACATGAGACTACCCGAACTCCTGAAAACGCGGAAAACGTGAGAGAGCGCGGAAAAGGAGTGGGAGCGAGGCGATGATTCAGGGTGGGTTATGAACCTGCCGGACAAGTAAGTCCAGGTTGACGGCCGCTTGCAGCGACCGATAATTCACAAACACCTCTGGTGATAAGTAGGGTACCTGAACCTCGGCAGATATCTTGAGCACAAGCATCGTACGCGACGAGCGACGAGCGACGAACGACGAGCTTCCCTAGACAAGTAGAGTGGGGATTTTTGTCCTCGGGAACTGCTATGCTATGCTATGGTAGCATGCTCGTTCACTCCAAGAATCTTCAGGGCGTGGAACTTCTGCAAAGCATGAGTACCTTTTTCAGATGAGCTACACAGCTAGAACTGGTAACAGAGACCGCCGTAGTTCGTTCAATGTTCTGCGGAGCTCGTAAAATTGGTAACGCACTTCGTCAAATTGGTAACAATTCTCGTAACCTCTTGATGAATGTAAGATGCGCAGCTCGGGTTGCACAACTTGGGCTTGTTTGATGAAGTTTCACGCCCTCACTTGACATCCTTCCACTCGCCTGCGTCGTGGTGTAGTCTTTTGGAGGAAGTCACCGTCCAGGACACGGGCGTCAATCGACGGCTGTCGTCAGTCGACGAATGCAGCCGTCAATTGATCGAATGAATTTGACGGCAACGCGTCGCTTGAAAAACTCCTGGCGATAGGCATGACGGGGTGGAATGGTTTTTTTCTGTCACGTGCAGAGATCGAATTTACAGTGAAAAAATAGAGTTGATATCATTGTACAGGTATCTGTATCATATCATGTAAGACACAATTACATCATGAGCACCTGATAAGAGAATAAGTAAAGCCAACAGGCAATCCACAAATTTTGCGTACCCAAGCTCGTGCCACATGCATTAGCTCCACACACAAGCTCAAGCACATATCCAGCAAAACCCCCTTGCCTTCATAAGCTATTGCTAGTCCAGTCATAGGGCCGAAACTGCAAACGAACAGCCTTCCCAGCAGCCAACGCACCCTCCACCTGTGCCCTCACCTGCGCCTTGAGATACGGCAGTATCCATCGCACCTGCTCCTCTTCCTTTGCTCCAAAATCCACCCCATACCAGTCCAATAACTTCGTCACCTGTAGCACCACCTCCCCTCCCCCTCCTCCTCCCCCAACTTTCTCCTTACCTCCACTCTTTCCCCCGTCCTCCACCACCCGTACATCCCCCTCCAGAAACGCCCCAGCAGCCGTGTCCAATTCGCTCTCAATCGCATCCCCGGAAAACAGGCGAATCGGAGGGCACGACCGCGCGCCGCAATTCAGAGCAAAGTGAATCCTCGGGTCAGCCGGAGGGAGAGAATAAAACCTGCGCAGATCCGACCCCCCGAACGGACGCTTCCCGGGGAAAAATGGCAGCCCAATGGTGGCACGGTTGCCACGCAAAATCCCGTGCTCTATGTCATCAAGGGAGAAGGAATGGCCGGCTATAAGGTAGGAGGAGTGGGAGAAGAAGCGCTTGCGGTCCAAGGGGGAGGAGGGCGGGCCGAGAGCGAGTGTGGCGTGCAGCACGAGGGAGTTGTAGATGTTGATCCAGAAGGCCTTGCGGTGGGGGAGGGGCAGCGCGAGAACGTCCACCTGGGAAGGAGTGGGGAGGCACGAGCGATGGTTTGCATGGGGGAATGAAAACGCCAGGCATCAGCAGGAGGGAGTTGTGGATGTTGATCCAAGTGATGGGGGCGAGGCACGGCAAGCCCGTTCACCCACCTAAGGAAGGGGGTTGGAAGGCCGGAGGAAGGAAGGGCGTACACTGGCATAAGGTGCAGCATGGACAGGTGTTTGAGGATTCTCAAGAAACAACCCATCTCACATGGATAGGACGCGAGGGAGGTGTAGCGGAAGTGGCTGGAGGCAGGAAATAATGTATCTGTAGGAACAAGTGGATGCTAGACTGGATCATGCTCGCGCTCAACCCCCACTGTCTTTCTCACGCCCCGGGCACCCTTCTCTCATCTGTGCACCAGAATGTATACGCATCAACTCACTCTGGGTCCGGCATGCACAATCCCTGCCTCATCCCCCAACCATGCAGTTAAAAGCAGAGGCACGTAACACTGTAACAAACCACTGTGCCACCGAAACCCGCAGCACCACGGCGCCACAGCACTCACCTTCTGCAGTTCTGCAGCAGCCCGCACGTATTCCTTGAATGCTGCTGACGACGCCAGCCGCTTGTAGCTCACACCGCCCCCATCCAGCGAAAGCGCCTCGTCATAAATCCCCACAGTCGCCGCCCGCAGCCCACTAGCAACAACCGATGCCGGCCGAGCAGGCCGGAGGAAGATCGGGCGTGCGTTGAGCGCAGTACTTTCCGGCAGCTCGTCGGGCAGGAGGCGGAAGAAAACATCGGGTTTGTTGGTGAAGGGCTGAGAGTAGGTGATGTGGTGGACGAGATCTGCCTCTGCCAGCCTCTCTGCTACCCGCACTGCTGCTGCTTCCAACGATGATGCTGCTGCTGGTGCAGCTGCTGCTGCAGGGACTGTACCTTCTCCCTCCTCTTCTCCTGTAGGCATGTTCGCTTTGAGCCATGCGACAATGGCAGCACCAGACACCACATTCCTGTGCGTTGTCAGCAGACCATCCTTCACTTCCTCTCGCCTCACTCCTCCCTCCCCCTCCCCTGCTGCCATCCTCTCGAAAAGCTCCACCAACTCTCGGCTCAACCCAGGCCACACAGCCAGACCACCTTCTCTTCCCCCTGCCCCTCTTGCTGTTGCAGCATCTCCTGGGCTGTCTGCGCTGCTGTCTGCTGCGGGTTTAAGGCTGAGCAGTGGAATGAGGGCTGGGGGGAGAGGGTCAGCGGGAGAGGCGAGCAATTCCTGTAGCTTCTTGCTGGTCACAAGCTGTGTGCACGAGTGTGTGAGTGTGAGTTAGGGGAAGAGGGGGAGGGGGGTAGAGAAAGGAGAGGGAAGGAGTGAGGAACAATGAGTGAGAGAAAGGTGGAGGGAAGGGAGCAGGAGGGGGGGGGGAGGTCGAAGGGGCGCAAAGAGGGGGAAGTAGGACGGACAAAGGGCGAGTGAGTGCAAGGGGAGACGCAACAAGAGGCATTGGAGTAATTCAAAGCAATCGGGGAACAGGTGAACGCTGAATACAGCGCAAACGAATGCTGATGGTGCCAGGCGAGAGTCACATCATATGCGGGAGTCACATCACATGCGAGAGTCACATCACATGCGGGAGCCATGCACATCGAGCGAGAAGCCAGGTAAGACATGTCAAATCTTCCATTGAAAACTTCAGGAATATATATTCCTGACCTCCCCACTTCCACTCCTTTGAAAACCTCTCAACCTCCCTCACTCGCACAACATCTCAAATTCTCTCCCCCTCTCTCCCTCCCCATCTCCCTCCCTCCCTCCATCCCTCCCTCCTACCTGCTCCAGGTCATCGAAGCCCCCCACCAGCCGTCCCCCAACGTAGATCACCGGCACGGTGCGCATGCCCGAGGCTTCCGCCAGCGCTGCTCGCGCCGCTGCTGCTGATATCACAGCCGACGGCGAAGCAGGGGAGGAGGAGGAGGCAAGAGGAGCAGCATCATCACCAGCAGCAGCAGCAGCAGCAGCAGCAGCAGCAGCAGGGGGAGGAGCGGGGTTATCGAGGGCAACGGAGCATTCAGTGTAGGGGAGGCCGTTAGAGGCCAGCAGCGCCTTGGCTTGCCGGCAGTAGCGGCACGCGGGGACGGTGAAAATGAGGATGGCGGGAGTTGCGGGGGAGGGCGGAACGCCACTGGGGGAGGTGGAAGTGGAGGTGGAGGTGGTATTTGATGAAAGCGTCGGCTCGGCAATACCACCGTTGTTGCTGCTGGTGGCCTGAGGAGACGATGTGGCGATGTGAAGAGGATTGGAAAGGGGACTTCGTGGATATAAGTGATTTTTTAGCCGACTCTGTGGACATAAGTGGCGAGAAAGGAAAGATGGAATGAGGCATCGCCAAGACCACGTGGCTACACTCGCTACAATTACCGTAACGGAGATGTTTCTAATGATACTGAGAGGATACATCAGACGCAAGAGGAGGATTTACCATGACTAAAACCCGAAGCTCGTTAGACGCACGCTTCCTTAGCGCAACACATGCGGAAGACTTGCGCAACAGGGAGAGCTCGCGCGCACTGGTTCCCCGCGGAAGCAGCCGCGCGGAGCTGCGGAGCGGCAAGAGCGCGGAGGGGTTCAGCTGCAGCAGCGGCGGGGTGATGCATGCGCAGGCATGCCCGAGCACATGCATGGGTGCAGCCCGCGATAATCGCCGTAACTGCCGCTTCGTGTGAGCAAAGCAGACGGTCTGGATGAAATTTGGATGGATTGTGGTGGAGATTCCGCGAACGCAGAGATCCCCACTGAAGAGTTGCAGTTGAGGTTGCTAGGGAATGTCTTTGCTATTGAGTTTCGGGTGGCATATCGAGTCATGCCGCAATCATCACAATGGCCAAATCTCACCTTTTTCTGACGTCATTATGTTGAAGCTATACTCCCCCAAAATGGAATTTGACATTGAAAATCTAGGGTCAAAAAGGCTAAAATTTTAATTCTCCATATCAAACCAAAGTAGGTGAGTTTGGTACCAAATATCACCCTCCTTTTCTACCTTCTTAAGCAAACCCTATCCAATGTACGCCACAATGGTTTTGGATAAAACTTGTGTTGTTTTTCATGATCTCCTATTATTGGAATGGTCATTCACAAACTCGTTGTACAAAGGCATGTTCCACTCCAAATAAACTACATAGAGTTTGAGATTATGGGATGACGACACTGACTACTAGTTATTGTCAAGTTATACATATGTTTGAATATAGAAGTTATAGGCTAGATAGTGTCAACTTATACATATTATCTATGTAGAAGTTGTAGGCTAGCTAGGTGTGTGCTTCTAGTGAGTACAACCAACAGGTATTTGTTCTATGTTTCTCTTCCTAGTAATTCATTCGTTTCTACGTTATCATGGTATCACGCTTAGGTTAGGATCCCCCCGCCTACCGCTTCCCCCCGTCGCGCCTCCTAGGCCCCGTCGCGCCCCCTAGGCCCCGTCGCGCCCCCCCTGGGCCCCGTCGCGCTCGTTCGGCCCCGTCGCGCCCCCCCTGGGCCCCGTCGTGCCCGCTGGGCCCCGTCGCGCCTCCTAGGCCCCGTCGCGCTCCCCCTGGGCACCGTCGAGCCCGCTGAGCCCCGTCGTGCCTCCTAGGCATCGTCGCGCCTCCTAAGCCCCGTCGCGTCCCCCCCTCTGGGCCCCGTCGCGCCCGTTCGGCCCCGTCGCGCCCCTCCTAGGCCCTGTCGTGCCCGCTGGGCCCCGTCGCGCCTCCTAGGCCCCGTCGCGCCCCCTCTGGGCACCGTCGCGCCCGCTGGGCCCTGTCGCGCCTCCTAGGCCCCGTCGCGCCCGCTGGGCCCCTTCGCGCTTCCTAGGCCCCGTCGCGCCTGCTAGGCCCCGTCGCGCCCGTTAGGCCCCGTCGCGGCCCCCCTGGGCCCCGTCGTGCCCGCTGGTCCCCGTCGCGCCTCCTCGGCCCCGTCGCGCCCCCCCTGGGCCCCGTCGTGCCCGCTGGGTCCCGTCGCGCCCCTTAGGCCTCGTCGCGCCCGCTGGCCCCTGTCGCGCCTGCTGTTAGCGCTCGCCCGCCTGGCCTCCTCCTAGTGCCGCTCGGCCTCCTCCTAGTGCCGCCCGGCCCCCTTCCTAGCGCCGCCCGGCCTCTCCTCAGTGCTGCCCGGCCCCTCCTCGTGCCCGACCGGCCCCAGCAGCACCAGCCTGGCCTCTCCCAGCACCAGCCCGGCCCCAGAGCACCTGCCCGCCGCCCCTGCTCGGCCTGCCGTGTCCTCTCGGGCCCTGTGTCTTCTGCTCGCCTGCGCTGGGACGCCTAGCTGCTGCCCTACTGGAGAGTGCTGCCGCCGTGTCCCCGCGCCGCTGTGCTCCTGTGCCGCTGAGGAGCTGTGCCGCTGTGTCGCTGAGGAGCTGTGCCGCTGACCCTGCACGATGGCTGACTTTGTGCTCCGCCTGGACGCTAAGGGCCACGCGGTTGACTTCGCCGCCTGGCTCTCCGATCTCCGCCGCCAGCTTACAGGTCAGCGCCAGGATGGCCTCTCTTTGGTTGTCCATGCTGATGGCTTGCTCCCCCGCCCCCCTGCACCTACTCCCCTCCCTGCTGACCCCTCCTCTGATGACCGTGAGGCTTTCTCTACTGCTGCGCTGGCCTGTGCGGTCTGGGACTCACGCGATGCAGTAGCTCAGGTTGCTATTAGTCACGCCCTCCCTGTGTCTGAGCGCTCGCGTTTTGCTACTGTTGAAACGGCCAAAGCTTATTTAGACGCCGTTATTGCTCGCTATTCCACCCCTGCCTCCGCTTCTGCTGGCCGCTTGCTCTTTCCGATGCTGTTCCCAGACCTGGCTGCCTTCCCTACTGTCGCAGACTTTGCCACTCATTTGCGTACCCTAGAGACTCGCTATCGCACTGCCAGCACTGCTGCCCAGCTCACTGCGCTCCCCCCTCCTTTCTGCATGACGCTCTATTTTATCGCTATGCGCCTGCCAGACCGCCTCGCTAGTGCTCGCGACCACTTTCTTAGCCAGCACCCGGGTGACCTCACCCTGACCGCCTTTGTCGACACCCTCACTGAGATCGAGACTCGCCAGCGCACTATCGCTCAGTCGAGCGGTGCGCCGGCAGTCTCTATCTTTCACGGCTGTGCCCCATCCCAGTGCACGTTCACTGACGTTTCGGCTGCGGTCGCCACGGCGACCCGTCTTACCGAGACGGCTGCTGCTGTCCACCCGCAGCAGCGCTCGCGTCGCGGTGGCCGTGGCCGCCAGGGAGGTAGGGGTGGTGACGCAGGTGGTGGTGGTCGTGGTGGTGGTGACGGTAGTCCGCCTGAGGGGACTACCACCGGTGGGCAGGAGCAGCAGCCCCAGCAGCAGCAGGACCAGCCCCAGCCGCAGCCGCCGTCCCAGCAGCACCCGCCGCAGCCGTGGGCTCGTCTCCCGCCTGGTTGGCCCGGCACCTCCGGAGGCGGTGGCCGTGGTGGCGGCCCGCGCAGCTTGGCGTCTACCAGCGGCTCCAGTGCTGTGACCTGCCAGTACCAGCTTCAGACAGGGCCTCTCCGCGGCACTCTGTGCCGCCGCCCGCACCCGACCGCTCGCTGTTTCCGCCGCCTCGACGATCTTTTTCGTCGTCGCTTTGGCTCGGCCCCGGACCTCCCTTACTGGCACAGCCTGCTCCGCCAGGGCGTGCCGATCTTTGAGTTAGACATGGATCAGATAGGTGCTGCTTTGCATGCTTTGTATGCTGACGCTTCTAGTGTTGCTGGATCTTACTACCCTGTGTACTCTAGTTTAGGTGTTTCACCCTTGTGTAGCTTAGCTTCCCCTGCTGCGTCAGGCGTAGGACTGCCTAGGTTGCCTAGCCTAGCTACTGCACCCGCCCCGTCCCCGGCCTCTGCCACTGCCTCGCTGTCCTTCACGCTCGACTCCGGTGCTTCTGCCTGTTTCTTCCGTGACCGGTCCACGCTCACGCCGCTTGCTGCACCTGCGGTTGTCTCCCTCGCTGGCCCCTCTGCCGGTCCTGTCGTCGCTCGCAGTTCCACTTCCCTTCCCTGTCCAGCCGTTCCCTCGGGCTCTCTTACAGGCTTCCACGTTCCGTCGTTCTCCAGGAACCTGGTTGGTGTCGGCCGTCTTCAGGACCTCGGCGTCACCACCACGTTCCCTGGGCACGAGCGGTTCGCTGTCTGTACCGAGGCAGTCTCAGGTTCCCCTCTTGCGACGTTCTCCCGGGACCCGGTGTCTGGTCTGTTTACCCTCGACACCGCTTCCCCCCCGGTTGGTGCATCCTCCCAGGTCGCTGCAGCTTGCTCGTGTCGGTCCCTCACTCACCCGTCCCTTCTCTGGCACCACCGCTTAGGTCACCCTGCTCTCCCACGTCTGCGTCACATGTCTCAGCACGGTCTTGTCTTAGGCCTCCCCGCGTCGCTCCCTGCCCTCCCACCCTCGACTGCGCCACCGTGCACGCCTTGCGTCGAGGGCCGGCTCCGCCGTGCTCCTCACTCCTCCTCGCTGCGTCCTGCTACTGCCCCCCTTCAGACCCTGCACCTGGACGTTTGGGGCCCTGCCCCCGTCCCCGGACCGCGCGGTGAGCGCTACTTTCTTGTGCTCGTCGACGACTACACGCGCTAGACCACGGTGTTTCCCCTGGAGCGGAAGGCCGACGTGCCCGACGTTCTTCTCCCGTGGGTTGTGGCTGCACGTCTTCACCGTGGTCTCCCTGTGTTGTGTCTCCACTCTGACCGTGGCGGTGAGTTCGCCTCTGGTCGGCTTGGACAGTTCTGTCGTGCGGAGGGCATCACCCAGTCGTACACCTTGCCGGACTCGCCACAGCAGAATGGGGTTGCTGAGTGCCGCATCGGTTTGGTCATGGAGGTGGCTCGTACCTCCATGATCCATGCCGATGCCCCCCATTTTCTGTGGCCGTTCGCTGTCCGCTACGCTGCTCACCAGCTTAACCTGTGGCCCCGCTCCCAGCGGCCGCAGGTTTCGCCGACCCTCCTTTGGACCGGGTCCCCCGGTGACGCGTCTGCGTTCCACGTCTGGGGTTGCCTTGCTCACGTTCGTGCCTCTGGTACGGACAAGCTCACGGCTCGCACTGTCCCCTGTGTCTTCCTCGGTTTCCCCCTAGACTCGTCTGACTGGCTCTTCTACCACCCGCCGTCTCACCGCTTCCTCCACTCCCGTGACGTCACCTTTGACGAGTCTGTCTCCTTCTACCGCTGCTTCCCTCACCGAGGTCTCCCGGTTGCCCCGCCCCTCTTCCTTGCTCCCTCTCCCCCGGTAGCCCCTGCTCCTCTCCCGCCTCGTCCTGCCCCATCTGGTGTCTCTCACGTCACTCCCCTCCCGTCGGTTGTCCCAGTTGAGGAGTCAGCTGACTCTGGTGGTCCCCCCGGCCCGTCCCTGCCGCGTCCCCCTTCCCCGGTGTCTCCGCCTTCCCTGCCGCTGCCACCGCCGCCACCGCCGCCGCCGCAGCCGCTGCAGCCGCCGTCGCCGCCACCGCCGCTGCCGCCCTTGGCCCCTGGGGGTGCTGGCGTCGAGGAGGGTGTTCGTCGTGCCGCGCCTGGAGTGGTCTGTCCCGGCGGGCCTGGGGGTGCCGCTGGTGCTGGAGGGTGTTCTCGCTCTGGGGGTGTTGGTTCTGGGGGTGCTGCCGTTGAGAGTTCTGCCGGTCCGAGGGTCGCGGTCCAGCCGCCGCAGCAGCCCCAGCAGCCGTCGCCGCCGGTCTCCGCTCTCCGTCTGCTCGGCCTTCCCTCCACTGACCGCTCGCCGGTGTCTCCCCCACCGCCTTCTGACCTTCCTGTCTACGGTCCTGTGTTCC